TTCCAGCATCCTCCAGTCTGAGTGAGGAGAGAGGATGGAGGGAGAGAGAGAGAGATGGGGGCACATCCCAGACCAGAGCCAACTTGAAGCATCTCTCCCTTCCTGTCCCCCTCCCCAGGCCTCACCTGCCGTGCCCCCCAGGTAGAGGGAGGGGAACCAGGTCCCAGCTCAGCTGCCAGACTCTCAGGCCCGCTGCCACGGTCCTGCCACCGCTGTCTCCTCGGCTCTGGGCACCCGGCCTGGGTTATAACCACCCACTGATCCCTTGGGCGCATTCCCGGGTAGTGAGGCGCCCTGCCGGGCCCTAGCAGCCACTCCTCTGGCTTCCCGCCACCTCCGCCCCGGAGCATCCCTCACGCAGCTCAGACGGCCGGCCGCTTCCTGCCTCCCTGGCCCCGGGATGGGGAGGGGTCTCCTGGCCCCGAGCCTGGAGCCTCGGACAGGCAGCTCCTCTTGGCTCAAGTGTTTTCTTCTTCCCTGTTTCCTTCACTCATTCTGCCTCCATCCATCATCTCTCCTCCTAGCCTTCCTTCTCTCCGTGTTCTGCTTCCTTTGAAATCTTTCTGAGCCTCTCTCGGTGTAAGGCGCCCACAGAGTCTCCTCTAGGTCTCTCCCCATCCGCTCTGTCTCAGGATCCCTGTTTCTCTGTCTCAAGGTCTCTCCGTCTCTCTGTCTGTCCCTGTCTTTCTGGGCCTCTAGGTCTTGCCCTTTATCTGTGTCTTAATGACTCTCTCTCTCTTTTTAATGGGTCTGAATGCATTTATGTCAAACATACCTTAGAGTTCTCAAGTCTCTCATTTCCCTTCTGCTTTATTATTTTTTCACAGCTTTACCAAGGTAAAACTGAGGTACAATGAACTGCTTGTATTTAACATGAACAGCGTGATGGGTTTTGACACATATACATCCAACCGTCACCACAGTCAAGACAGTGAACACATCCGCCAGCCCTAAATTTCCTCATTTCTGTGTTTCTGTAATTCTCAGTGACTGTCTCTTTCTCTACACCCCCGAGTCTCTCTGTATCTTTTCTTTTCTGTTCTCTGTCTTTTCTCTGTGACTCTGCCCTTGTCTCTCTCTGTTCCTGTATCTCCCTCTCTTGTTCTCTCTCTCTCCATATATATATACGTGTGTGTGTGTGTGTGTGAATATATATATCTATATGTATCTGTCACTTAGTATCTGTATCTCTGTGTCTTTCTCTCCCTCTGTCTCCCCTGCCCTCCATCTTGGGCCAGGAAGACTCTGGCCACTTTGCTGAGGAATGCCCACAACTCCTTCACCCTGGGACCAGGGCCACGGGGCAGAAAGAGGCAGCGATCCAGTCTGGGGGCCCCAGCAGGTGCCCTAGCCTGCCTGGCTCGGCCCCGCGTGGGTGAGAGAGTTGGGCGTGGCCACCTATCAGTGAGGAAAGAGGCTCAGAGGCCAGGCTGGGGGGCGGGTGGCTTTGGGAAATGCGGCGCTGGGTGGGGAACCCGTGAGATGCCTCCTCCCTCCCAGGACCTGGGCCACTGGGAGCCTCCTCTCCTGACCTCTCGTTCACTCTGTTCCTTCTTTTTGTCTGCCCCCAACTCTCTGTATCTGTCTCTAACTGTATCCAAGTCTCTGTCTCCGCCAGGATATAAGAACCAAAGCCTCATTCAGCTCCTATTTACTGAGCACCTACTGCGTGCCAGACCCAGCTCTATTTGTGAACAAAACGGGCAAAGACCCCTGGAGATGCTGCCTTTGTGGGGCTCACACTCCTTGAGGGCAGAAACCAGGCTATCTTGCTCACTTCTATAATCCAGCACCTGTTGAATGGGACATTTTAGAGCTCCGAGGCTGGTCTCAGTGTGTAGGGGGGAAAAAACCCTAAAAATATAAAATGCTAAGGTTACTTTTAACTATTGCAATGACTTTTTCATGCATTAAAGTGACAAATCCAGCAGGCTACTTCTTTCTGAGTCTTTTAAGTTTAGCTTACAAATCTTTCTATTCCAAATATGACTTTTGATTCCAGGTAAGTCTTTAAGATAATGTTTGGCCCCATTTCTAAACTTAATTCATGAAATGTCTTCAAACATCTAAAACTACATTTCTAAAACCAAACATAGTTGGTCTCTTTGGAAGCTCCTTCAATTTCTAGACAAACCTTCCAGAGCGTTTAAGTAAATTTAAACTTCTGTGTATAGTACACTTACAAATATGATCAATATCGTATTCTTCCAAGTACCCCAGCCCTGGGTAGAAATGTGGTATCACTCTGACTTAAGAGTCGCAGAGTGGTGACCTATGGCAAGCTGAAGCCACAAGACTGTCCCTGTAACAGACAAAATTCCCCCGGACATTCAGGCACCATACGTGCAGGGCTTCTGCCTCAAAAAGCATTCATGTTGTAAATCAATTCTATTTCAATAAGAAAATTTTAAACATTTATGTTAAGGATTGAGCCTTCAAGGGGGAGGTAGCGCTGAGTCATAGAGCGCATGCTTAGCATGCACGAGGCCCTGGGCTCAACCCCCAGCACCTCCATTAAATAGATAAATAAATAAATAAACCTAATCACCTCCCCCACCAAAAAAAAAAAAAAAAAAGAAAAGAAAAAAAGGGTAGGGCCTTCAACATTTCTATGCTCAATTTGAAAACATCTCAGAATTGAAAGAAGATGTTCATAAAGCAGAGCGGTTAGGAACCCAAACACTGGCGCCAGCCCCCCGCCCTCTACGACATTCAGTTCTGACTTGGCCACCTACTACCCGTGAGCCTCTGGGCAAACCACATTGCCTCTCTGTGCCTCAGTTTTCCATATGTAAAGTGGGAGCAATTAGGGTACCTAGCTGACAGGCTTGGTGTGTGAGGGTTAAATGAATTGGTGCATAAGGCTCTTAGAATAGTACCTGGCGTGTGTTATCATAGTTACTATCCGTGGAGGAAGGTGATTTCCTCTCAGTTGCCTGAAGTTGGTTTTGGTCTGGACGTTCGTTGGCTGGGTTCTTCCTGGTGATCCCAGTGAACTTCGTGGCTCTATTTATAATTCATAACTTTTAGAAAGTGTTGGGTAAGGTGGGCCCAGGCCATTATGTGACTCAATATTTCCACTGACTCATAAAAAGTCAATGATTCTCTCCCACTGCCAAAATTTCACTTTTGGTAAATTTGATACAATTTCGCTTTTCTTTGGTTCTTGGGATAGCTAAGTGTGCTTTTGCTCTGATTCTAAAGATCTTTAGAGTCGAAGGACTCTGTTCTTTTCCATAAACTCCTTCTGTCTTTGGACCACATAACTCTTCTACCATAAAATGACACATGACTGACTTTGAATATCTCCTATGGCTTGGTTGCTCTGTGTAATTACTTCCAACTTCATTCTCCTCTGTCCCAGACAAACATAAGACTGCAATAAATAGTTATGAAGCAAACTGTCTCTGATTCTCCCTCTGTTCCTAAATATTTCTCTGCTCCAAACTCCAGGTCCCACGTTGGACCCTCTTTTTCCTTCTCCGGAGACTACCTGTCCCGCTCGCCTTCCTGGGAGGCTGCCTGGCTTAGATGTTGTTTTTCTCTTTCTCAGAGATGATGTAGTGGAGTTAAGAAAGGAAGACCTCTCTGAGGGCAGGAACAGACCTGGGGCTTGGGCGTAGGGGTGTGTGCGCTGGTGTGGGTTCAAGCCCGGCGCACGTGGGTGGGAGAGTCCCAGAAAGCATGTGCAAGCCAGTTCTGCCCGTCTGCTCCCCTCGCTTTGGGGAGGGCCTCCAGTCTCTCCACCTCCCTGCCCATCCCCTTCCCTTCCAATGGACTGCAGCAGAATCTTTCAGTTACCCAGATCTGACCCAGTCCTGCCTTTTCTCGAGGGGCTCAGGATCAAGGTCAAGTTCTTCTGCCCGGTACTCAAGGCTCAGTACCATCTTCCCTTGACCTATATTCCCAGCCACGTCACCCACTTGTCCTGCCTCAAACCCCAGCCCTCACCATCCTGGGTGATTGTCCATCTCCGGGACACAGCAAGTGTTCTCACACCCTCAGGTTTTTCTTTGGATCATTAGCTCTCTGAGAATGCCATCCACCCAAACATCTCCATACAGCAAACTCATATTCAGCCTCCCTTCTCCAGCCCTCCCAGACCCAGTCCCTGCTCAGCCCTCATCTTCTCTCACTTTACCATCACCTCAACCTCCTCCCTGGTCTCTGGTCTCTGGTCTCTCCCTTCTGGTCCATACTGCACATGGCCCTAGTGCTGCTCCTGCTCACATCCCTTCCATGGCTCCCCATTGCCCTCAGGAGAAACCCCTGCCTCTCAACCTAGAGCCTTTGAGGTCTGGTCCCTGCTCTCCTCTCTCATCTTATCTCCTGTCACTCTTCCCACACACAGTGGTCTCCTAATCCTCCTGTCTCCCTGCCTTTGTTGCTACAAGGGGAGTTCAGGAGATAAAGACACGCCTCAGGGCCAGCACAAGGTGGAAGAGTCAAGGATGTCTTCCTGGGGGAGGAGAAAAATCAAATTGGGCTGTAAAAGGGAACTAAGAAGATCTGGGATTCAGAGAGGCAGAAGTGAGATAAAAGCAAAAAGCACCATGGATAATAAAATTCATTCTTTATTACTCGCACAGGTGGGCAAGACACTGTTGCATCTGTTTCACATGTTCAAAACCTTGAATCGCCACTGCTTTATGAGGAATATACTATTATTATCCTTATCTTGCTGATGGGAAAATTACATAGTGAAGGAAGGCGCTTCCTGAGGGTATAAGGCTAGCAAGTGGCAGAGCTGGGACTCCAGCTCACGTGTGGCCAGACTTGGGACCACTCCTTTGCAGGGAGAAATTGAGCCCATGGAATAATCAGGGAGGGAGAGAGGCTTGGAAGGGATTTTCCTGTATTCTTTTAGTGGCGGGGGTAAGACCCGTTAGCCCAGGTCCCCACTCACCCTCAGAGATGCAGGGATGGAGCTGGGTCAGGTAGATCAGGGAGGATTCGTGCTCGGTGTCATTGCCTTTATTAAGCATTAAGGGTCAGGTCTGGGAAGGTGGTGAAGGTCAAAAGTTGGAGGTCACATGTCAGGGCCAGTTGGACTGAATGGTTTTTTGGATCCAGTGGCCATATCTACAGACGTCAGTGTAGACACCCGGCTTCTCCTTGGATCCGCAGGGCACGTTACCCCATGACACAAGACCTCGGAGACGGTCGCCACACACCAGCGGACCCCCGGAATCACCCTGTGGGAAGGAGGGAGAGAGTCAGACTCACAGAGAAAGACAGAAGGAGGCACAGAGACATGTAGAGAGGGAGAGAGCCACTCAGAGATGGAAAGACTCATGTATAGAGAAAAAGAGAGACAGACAGACATGGAGAGAGACTGAGGGAGACTCAAACATAGAGAAACAGAACACCAAGATCCAGAGACGCATAGACAGCAAAAGAGGGGGAAAAAGGAATAGAGGTTAGAAATAGAGACTGAGACGTGTTGGGAGGGCAGAGGTCCAGAGTTGGGGAGGGGAGGTAGAGAGAGTATATATATGCGTATGCGCGCGCGCGTGTGTGTGTGTGTGTATATGTTTTATGTAAAATATATAGAGAGTGAGAAATACATATACATGTTCTGTGGAAAGATATATACAGATAAATATATATGCTTAATGGATTTTTACATATGTATTTATATAAAAAGAGAGCTCTGTAAAGAGAAGATGGACAGTCTCAGAACTGGGACTCAACCACCTGCCCTTTCTTTGCATCCAACTCACTGTGTGTCACTCTTCTCTGTCTTTGTCTCTTTCTCCCTCTTGGCTGGTCTCTGCAGATCCTTCAATGCACAGGGCTCAGTTTTGGCATCAAAAGGAGAGACCCAGTGGACAATGGTGGCAGAAACCCAAGTCAAAGGTATCTGAGAGTGGGGGTGGAGGCCCCTCGCTTCCCAGCTAGGGTGCCCCTCCTCCACAGCACCGTCTGCCGCCTTACTGTGTCTCTCGGGTTCTTGCTCTCTTCATCTCCATCTTTGTCTCTGCAGTTCCTGTCTTTGCTGTCTGTCTTTATGTATCTGCTGTCCCTGACTGTGTCTCTGTGGGTCAGATTGAGTCTCTCTCCCTTTTCATGACTCTGATTCTCCCCCAGCCTGTCTCTGTAAAGGTCTAGCTCGGTCTGTCTGTCTCTTCCTGCCTGTCTCTGTCCCTGGCTGTGTAACTGGCGGGTCCCGGCGTCCTCACCTGGCAGGAATCCTTCCCGTGCTTCTCATCCCCAGCACACACCATGTTTTGGGTGATCTGGCCGGGGTAGGCGCGATCACACGCCTCATGGGGCACCAGGTGGATGTATGCACACTGGATGGTGTTAGGGAAATCACCTGCAGAGAGAGATGGGCCGGGGTCACTTCACGACCTGCCCTTCCCGTGCCTTCCTCATTGATCCCCCGATACCCGTAAGTCCCCCACTCCTATTGGTCCCCATTTCCAACTGGTTCCCTTCGTCCTATTTGTCTCTCAGTCTTAAAACCCATTCCCATTAGCCCTGACTCCTGAATGGTCCCTCTTTACAACACTCTTCCCTCCCATTGGCCTGTCTTCCTCATTAATTACCCTTCCTCTACCAGCCCTCACTTCCTATTGGTCTTTCCTTTCTCTTAGTCCTGCCTCCACCTGTGTCTCTCCCGTTGGTCCCACCTTCTTCAGTAATTCCAGCCGATTCTGAACACTGTTCCTCTATTCGTTCCTCCTCCGTTATATCTCTTCTCCTTCATTGGACCCTTCCTGCCCATTGGCTCACCCTGACTGGTCACCACTTGACCATTGGTCCTCTCCTGACTGGTCCCTCCTTTCCCCACTGTCTCTCCCATCCAAAGGTCCACTTCCCTCACTGGTTCTTTTTAAATGGCCTCCCCGCCCCTACTGGTTCTACCTTCCTTTTGGTTCTTCACTCACAGGGCCACCCCTAATGGTCCCTGCTGATCTGTTAGATTTGTTTCTTTCTCTGGCTGTCCCTCTAGCGACCCCTCTTGACCGTGGACTCTTCCTAGTTGGCCCCTCCCCCCGTTGGCTGTCTCTATCCTGTTCTCTTTCTTGGCTCACATCCTTCAGCTAACTCCCTTGCTTTATTGATCTCTCTTCTTCCATTAGTTCCTCCTCCATTTATAGTTTTTTGATCATCAATGCATCTTGATTGGCCCTTTTTGACAACTGGCCCCCTTCCTCATTAGTATCTCCCCACTGACCCTCCCTCCTCTTGACCCTTCATCTTATGGCCCATGTCTTCATACCATTCACCCATGAGCCTACTTTCTCCATTGGCTGTTCACTTGTTGGCCCAACTCCCATATTTGCCCTCTCTTCCCACTGAACTTTCACCCACTGATGCACTGCCCCATCGGTCTCACCATTAGCCCACCTTCCCCATGACCCATCACCCATTGGCCTGCGCCATTCTCCCTATCTTCCCACTACTGACCATCTGCTGTCTTGCCCCAGCCTAGGATGTGGCAGCTGGTATGGTTGGCTGAGCAGTCTCTTTCCAGGCGCAGGGGCTGGATGTGTTCAGAGAACTTCACTGCATACGCCAAGCGCAACAGCATGATGTCCTGGTCATGGGTGGCCGCATTGTAGCCAGGGTGGGCCACAGCCCGGATAACAGAGCTCTGCTCCTGGAAACTCTCCCTTTGCTGAAGGTTGTGCTTCCCCAAGTAGACCTGAAGATTCCTGGGAAAGAGAAAGGCTGGGTCTCACCTGGAGCCCTTGGGCTGCAACTGAGACTCCCGAGAGGGCTACAGTAAGAGGTAGGGGTAGCCTGGTACACCATGAACCATCTGGCATCTCCCCTCACAGTCTTCCCAGCTCAGTAAATGAAAACTCCGTCCTTCCAGAATAACCCAGGAGACTATTCTTCACCCTTATTTCTTGCCTCACATCCAAGCTGTCCAGAAATCCTTTTGTCTCTCCAAAGTATACCAGCATCTGACCACTGTCCACTTCCCCGACTGCTACCATCTTGATCTGAGCCTGGACTTGATCTTGTACCTGGACTACAGCCTCATTGCACTCCTGGCTTCTACCTTTGCCCCTCTACAGTCTATTCTCCACAAAACAACCAGAGATATTTTAGCAACATAAGCCAGCCTTGTCCCTCCTGTACTCAGAACCCTCCCATGACTCCCATCTCCCTCAGAATAAAGGCCGAAGTTCTCAGTGTGACCCGCAAGGTCCTACACAATCTGCCCCCATCACCTCTCAGTTATATCCTTACAGCCTCCCTCTTCTCATTCTGCTCCTGACAAACTGGCTTCCTTGTCTTTCCTTAAGCACAATAGTCACCCTTTCACCCCAGAGCCTTCGAACTGGCGGTCCCCTCTGCCAGCACCCTTTCCCAACAAGCAAGCCCTATCTCCCTCTCCTCCTTTCTTTCACATCATCTGATATACTATATATGTATTGTTAAGTATTTGTTTTATTGTCTCTCCTTCTGCCATAACCATGCTAGTCAATAGAACTTCCTGCAATGATGGAAATGTTCTCTGTCTGCACTGTTCGATACAGTGGCCACTAGCCACAGACAGCTACTGAACCCTTAGAGTGTGGCTAGTGGATTTGGAATTTTGCTTCATTTTTATTAATGTAAGTTTCATTGGCCATGTGGCCATGTGTGGCTAATGGCTACCACATTAGATGGTATAGCTCTAGAATATCAAGGTGGGATTTTTGTCTTATTCAGATACATCTTCCTCAGCATGTGGACCAGTGTCTGACACATGATGGATATTCAATAAATATTTGTGAAGTAGATCAAGGTGTTACTCCCTTGCTCAAAGACTTTCCATGGCTCCCCATTACCCTCAAAATAAAGCCCAGGTGTCTTTACCCACCATCCTCTGACCCCCAGTGAACTGGTAACTTTCTTTTCTTAGAACTCTTCAGATTTTTCCCACCCCAAGACCTTTGTCCTTACATGTCCTCTGCCCTGGATGCTCTGCCCCCTTCTTCGTTTGGCTCTCCTTTCTCATTTTCCATACCTCAGCTTGAATTTCATCTCATCAGAAAGTCCTTCAGGGTACCCTTCTCCACCTAAAGTAGGTACCTCTGTTCTTTTCCTTCACGGAGTCATCCCTGATTTTTTTTTTCCTTCATTGGACTTGGAGTAATTTGTCATTGTATGGCTTTTCAAGGATTCAGTAACTGTCTTTCTGCACCTTTCTGCTCCTGGATTCCCAAGGACAGAGACTCTGGGTATCCCTCAGCCACTGTTGAACCCCAAATCTGGCACTTAGTGGGTGTTCTTGATCAGTGTACACCCAGTGAATGAATGAGGTTGGTGGGAGTGAAGCCAGGCCTCCCTGAGCTTGGGGAGACCATTCTGGGTGGAGGGGGGTCCTTGAGTCCATGATCCTGCAAGGTGAGATCCCTGCTGGGGTCCCCCTCCCAACAGTTGGGTGTGGCATCTGTTGGTTTGTCACTTGCTACTTCTCTGAGCCGCAGTTTCCTCATCTGCAAAATGGGGCCAAGAGTCCCTTATTACGGGGGATTTCAGGAAAGTTATAGAAACTGCCTCACTTGGCATCTGGCCCACAGTTAGTGTTGGGAAAAAATGGCAGCCGCTGATCATCTAACTAGTGGTTGTTAGTGCCCCGAGGATTATTTCTGGGCCATCTACGCACCTCTATCTATGCCCGCTTTTTTGGATGATCTCATCCCATCCCGTGGCTTTAAATACCACCTTGTTTGTGGCTGATGCCTTAATGTTTACTTCCATCTCTGACCTCTCCCCCCAAGCATCAGCAACCAACTTGGCATCCTTCTCGAATGTCTCCTAGGGACCTCAGTCTCACCTTGGCTAAAACAAAATGTCTGATGTGTGCCTGCCTGTATCCCAAATGGTTTCTGTTTCCCTCTCTCCCAATGCAGAGAACAAAACAGGCAGTTGTTCAAGTCAAATCCCCGGAAATCAGCCCTGCTTGCTCTCTTTGCCTCCCATCCCACATGGTTCAACCTCAAAACACTCCCAGGGTTTTCAACTTCCCTCCATCCAGACCTCCCCATCCTGGTCCGAGCCATCATCTCTGGTCACCAGACCATGGCAGCAGCCTCCACATGCCTCCCTTCCTCACCTCTCACCCAATCCACTTTCCAGAGTGCTCTAAAAAAAATGTAAGTCAGATCATGCTGCTTCCCTGATTAAAACTCTCCAGCGGCTTCTCCCTGTGCTTAGAGTTACCCATCTCTCCCTCCAGGGCTCTGTCTGATCTGATTCCACAGTTAGAGGGTCAGTTCATTAAAGCAGCAGTTTTGCTTGTTTTCTTCACTGCTGTATCCCCAGGGCCCCAAACAGTGGCCAGCACATATTTAGTACTCAATTAAATCCTGGCCAGTTGAAACTGGTTATCAGATGGCCTCGTGCTGGGGCGAGGGATGAGTGCCACTTCATGCCTGGAGTCTGCAAGGCTCCTGCAGGCTCTAACTGCAACCACTCTTCAATCACGGCATGGAGACTCACGGTTTTTTGCAGTGGGCAGCGGTGAGGACCCACAGTGGGTGAATGAGGACCCCCCCGCAGAGCAAATGGCCAGAGGTGTAGAGGGCTGCTTGGTAGGGGTGAGACATCAGCTCACAGGGTCCGCCATGCATCACCTTATCCTTATCCTCTGCCTGGGCTGAAGGAGGGAGGGTCTGAGTCAGACAGGAGGTCTGGAGGCATTCAGCACATCCCCCAAGGTGAACCCCGTTCCTGTCTTATCATCAACAGCATCTCCATCACCACCTCTATGCATGTTTTATCCCCAATCCCCCAAACCAACCTCATTCTCAGCTCTTCCCCATATTCCAAACCCACCTCCCACCCCTTCCCCGTCTGCATCCCTCAACCCTAGCCTAGCCCCCGACGTCTTCCTCACTCCAAGCCCACCCCCTCCATAGCCATGTGTATGTCCATCCCCAATTCCATTCTCTTCCCCGCAACCACCCCTACCCCACGCCCAGACCACCCCATCCCCGTCTCCCTTCTTCCCACCTGCAGTGACCAGAACCAGTGCTGCCATCAGCGTCCTCGTGGCCATTCCTGAGAGGGGAAGCCAAGTGCTCCATCAGCCCCAGTCCCAGACTTCACCCAGTCCCTTCCCTCTTCTCCCTCCTCCTCCTCCTCCTCCCTCGTCCTCCCTGGCCTCGCCACTGTCCTCCTCGGCCCTTCGATGCCTGTCCTTCTCATTCTGCCTCCTGCCTTCTGGTCTTTCCGACCCAGTGTCTTCCATCTGAGGGTCCCATGAAGGCAGGAGCCAGCCAGGACCCAGGACCTGCAAGCTCAGTGTCGCTTTCTCATTATTTTTCTACTCTTGGCTCTAGTTTGCCCGCTTAGTAACAGGAGGGAGGGCCCCTGACATTCTTTCCTCTCCCTGGGATTTCTCATCTGCGCTTGGCTCTGTGCTTACCCAGTCGCTCACCCCCCACACCTGTATGTTCTCGTGTGATCTTACCTGCTGGGGACCAGCTGCCTGGTGGCCTGGACTCTTGGGTTGGGGGCAGGGACAGCCCACGTCACAGGCAGACAGACAGGGAGACGGAGAGAGTCAGACTGCAGGGAGCCACGGGGAGAGAAGGAATGTGAAGGCAAAGCAGAGGACACCTCAGAGGAGACAGAGAGGGAGGACAGGCAGAAAGCAATGAATGTCGATGCTGTGGGGCCCAGGGCTGGACGGGCACCCTGGAAGAGGCCGGTCCTGTTCCCAGATGCTCCTGGTGCTTCCTTTTTAACCCCTGTCCCTCCAGGTTCCTGAGGCAGGAGGCTGCCCCACCCTTTCCTCCTCACCCTGGCCTCCCACACACATTCCTCTACCCCCACAGCTCAGCCCCTGATGATCCCTGGACCCTGGCTTTCAGGGAGGGGAGAGCTGGTGCCTGAGTGCACTGGGGACCTGACTCCTGGGTCGGAGGGAGCAGGGGGCTGGGGGCTGAGAATTCTGCTCCTTCAAGGAGAAAGAAGATGGGAGTCAGCACATCTGTGTCTAAAGGAAGAGAACATAGGAGCTTGTTCTCCTTAGTTCATAGATTTCCAGGTCCTTGAGCAAGACAGCGTCTAAGGACCCAAATACCTGCATCCCAGCCGAGCAAAGAGTACCCCTGGCCTACGGGACTCCCACCTCCTCCGTGAGTGCTCTGGGACCTGCAGGCCCTTACTCCTGGGCCCAGCGCCCTTGGGCAGCGGGAACCAGGCTGCATGGGTTCAGTGGGGCTGGGGTGAGTCACGCACCTGCCTGTCAGTCCCTCTGTGGGTGCTGGCGACCTCCGTGTCCCCACGAGAGTGAGCAAGCCAGCCAGCGAGAAAGCATGTGTCACCAATCTGGTCCCCGCCCCTGCCCCGGGCCGGGGTGCAGGCCCAGGCGCTGTGGGGAAAGGGCCTTCGAACAATCGGGCTTTGTCCACCCCCAACACCCAGTGCCATGCTTCTGGCAGCTCCAATTCTCAAGCTCTCTTCCGAGCAGGCGGGCGGGTGACTGTGTCAATAGCTTCCCTTTATCCCTGTCTGACAGTCCTGTCACTGTCATTTGATTGTCCACCCACCTCTTCCCGGATATCAGGACTCTTGACCTTCCTGGTCATCTTCTTCCAAGTTTGCTCACCTCTGAGATCTCTCTGTCCATCTCTCTTCCTGGCCGTGGTGGGGGTGCCTCTGTCCCTCTCTCTCTTTCTCCATCTATCTGTGTCTCTCTACCCTTCTGCTTCTTCCTCCATCTTTTTCTCTAGGCCTCTGTCTTTCTCCTTGACTCCCTGAATCTCCACTGACACTCTCTGAGTCTCTCTTCTCACCTCCCCTGGGTTCCCCCTGCGTTTCCACGAGAAGCTTGTGTGTTTGCACAGAGGGGAATTAGCTCCTGCAGAGGGGATGACGTGGCGGGCAGAGTGGGGAGCTACTGGGACACAGGAGGATTTCAGGGCATGCTGGTGAGATTTAACAGGTAGGAAGAGACGTGGAAATAAGCAGGATGGCAGGAAAATTTGGAAGCGCCATGGGAGTGTGATGAGACATGGGGATCCAGGAAGATCTGAGGAAATGCCTTTGAACTTGGGCTGATCTTCAGGAGGAGAGGGGGGAAGGCCTGGCATGTGCGGGAAACAGACTGGTGTGGCCTGGAGGAGCGAGGGTGTGTGTGGCCGCACGGGGAACGACGGGTGTGGAGATCACAGTTACGGGTGAGAAGGAAAATGGGACTTTTGGGAAAGTCATTGGGTAACAAGCACGACTTATATTAATAATGTCCACCTCAGCACCAGCTCGCGCCTGGCACTATGGCAACATTTAATTCTTGCCTGAAATCTAATTGTCACCAACTTGGCTTGGCCCCACCCCCCATCCCTCCCGGGATGAAAACCAATTTGGCATTCAGTATACTCTCTGGGGCTTCTCCCCTCACCCCCCAGCTTCCCCTAGGCCCTTCTCATTCATGTCCCCAGGGAACTCAGCATCTTCTTCTCAGGGCCCACCATGTTGCCAGATGCCAGGTTGGACCACTCACAGCCCGCTGATCCCCAAGCCCTGTCCCACCGCCTCCTGTCTCTGTGTGGTCCCTCCTCTCCATCCCCATGCCCCTGGCCCTACCTCAGACCTGCTCCTCTCCCACCTGGACCATTGTCCCAAGCTCTTCCCCTTCTCTCTGTCCTTCACTTGACCTCAGAAGCATCTTCCTGTGTCCAGAGCCGAGTCTGCCTCTGTCCTGCTCACAGCCCTGGCCTGGGTCCCTCAGCACCCTCGGGACAAAGTCCCAGTCCTTCAACCTGGTTTTAGAAAATCTTCAGCATCAGAGCAGTGCTGGCCAGTAGAAATAGAATGCCAGGTACACATGCACTGAAAATTTTTCTAGTAGCCACAATTTTTTAAAAAATAAGAAGAAACAGGAGGAGCCATTTTAACATTTAATTTAGCCAAAATACGATCATTCCAACGTGAAATCAATGTAAGAAAAATTTAAAGACAGAATTTGCCTTCTTACTTTTTTGCATAATAAGCGTTTGGAATCTGATGTGCCTTTTACACTTACAGCACCCTCAGCACTTGCGACATTTCACAAGTCAGGAGTCACCGTGGGGAGCGGCTACCATATTGCTCAGTGCAGCTCCATACACTTTTCCCCTTGCACTCCAGCCATTGAGATGACTTGACATTTCTCTGAACTATGCCATGCCTTCTGTTCTCTAGGCCTTCGCCTATGCTGTTCCCTCCTCCCAGATCCTCTTCCTACCTTCTCCTGGCAACCACAACTTGTCCTTCAAGTCTTTGCTTAAACATTACCTCCTTCAGGAAGCCTTCCCAAAACACCACCCAACTTCCAACCCCCTCCAGTTGGGTTAGTCGGTCTCATCTAGGTTCCCACAGCAGGTGCCTCCCTTAAGTCACCCTGGATGCTGAACATCTGGATCCACATCCATCTCCCCCACTGGACCCATGAGCTCCTTGAGGGCAAGCACCAAGTCTGACTCACCCCTATGTCCCAAGCACCAGCACAGGACTCGGCCCACAGGAAGCTGGAGGAAATGTTGACCAAATGACTAAATAACTTCATTACGCCTACTCCTGCTTTACAGAAAAGAAAACTCAGGCTCAGAGAAGGGGATTTAATTACTCACCATCCAACACTCAGGAAATCGGTGGAGCCTGAATTGGAACTCAGCTTCCAACATGGTGGCAGACGTGGCCTGTCTCTTGACACCCTCACTGGATCTACCTTACTACAACAGGGCATGGGTGGATTGGGGAGGAATTGTTGAGAGCCATGTGGGAAAGGAGGAATGTGGTAGGCAGCAGGGAGTGGAAGAATCTCTAAGAGAGAACCAAGCTCTCAACTAGGCATTTGCCAGTGGCTTTCATGGTTTTGCCCCCCGCCCACACGCCATGCTTATTCATGAGATGTGTTTCTCCAAAGTGACATGCTCTGAAAAAGTCTTCAGTAAAGACAGTGTTTTATAGAAGACTTTATGAGGGCGTACGCAGGGAAAAGTGCCAGAAGTCACAAACGATAAAACCCAACACTCGTTGCAGACTCATTCTGGGTCAGAATGTTTTAGCTCTTTCTGAATATTAAACGTATTTAATCTGCATAACAGCCCTGGGAAATACGTGCTGTTTTCTCTCATTTCAAGGATGAAGGAACAAGGATGGGAAAGTAATGTGCTCAAAGGCAAGTAGCTTGCAGCTGCCAGAACTGGGATGGGACCCAAACAGCCCAGTTTCTAGAGTCACTGCCTTTAACTATGACGCTATCCTATGTGCCCCCCAAAAGAGGAAGCTGTTTTTTCAATTCAACAAGAGTACTCTCTCAAGTCATTGCAAACCAGTCTACCTCCAGACTTGTATACAGGAGCTGCCTGAGAGGCAGTGCCAAGTATCTCCAGGCTGATTTACTGCAACTATGATGTTTTGTGACTTTTCAAAATTTTAAATTGAATGCTGATTCATGGTGGCTTGCTGGAGAGAGGGAAAGTTGATGGGGCTCTGTGGGTGTGAGGGGCCAAAAACTCTTAACACTACTTAAACTTGACACTGATCCAGAGGAAGGGGGAGGTTGGGTGTCTGGACTCCTGGGTTAGCTTCCTGTGCACAGGGATGCGAGAGGAAGACACGAAGTTGCACGGTGGCTGCAGAGTTTCTGCCGTGTGAAGTGTGGGAGAGTGGGAGGCCAGGAGAGAGGGGAAGCTGGTGGTGCTCCATTAAGAGGAGAAGGTGGCCTGGGAGGGAATTCTGGGGGGGGAAACTTGAAAGACAGGTAGGAGGGGTAAGTCCTGGGCTGGAGTGTATCCTTCTGTCAGCAACTTCTGAGGTGTGACTGCTCAGGGAGACTCTGACGGCGGGGAAAGGGTGTGACCAGGCTGAGTCACAGGGACTCTTCCCTCCTCCCTTTCTGAGGCCCCTTCCCTTGCCTTTCTGAGGATTGGAGCCCACCTACCTGGGTTCCCAGCCCCCAACTTCCTCTGGCACCCAGGAGGCTGGGAGCTTACTTTTGGCAGGCCCTTGTGCGACCCAGATGTCCCATCTTCCTGCCTGTCCTATGCGTCCCCCAGACCTCCTCCCTCCCTCCTACTTTGTCACCTGTGTAATGAATGCCCAGAAACACTTTCACATCCCTTTCCACCCTCATGAAGTAGACATATTCTCTCCTCCTTCCCTTTTCCTCTCTCTACCATCTCCCCCATTTGACAGATGAGAAAAACTGAGCCCTGGAAAATGGAGAGAAAGGCAGGGCAAGGGCTCAAAATCAGAAATATCTTTCTTCCCAGCCTCCCTCTCTTAAGGGTCCCCTCTCCCCAACCTTAGCTCGCCAGAGCTTTTCCGCTTTTGTTTTTCAGGTTATAAAAGTGCACACCCACAGAAAAGCAAATAGGAGAAAGGAAGAATTCAGTGACTACCACCCTATGCAGTTTGATACAAGTCCTTTCAAGTTTTATTGTATGAATATTTTCATTTTACATAGTGGAAATCACATTCATATATATGTTTGTATCTCCCCTTTTTTTCACTGACCATCACACAGCATAAATGGCCTTGCATGACACTAAAAATTAATAGTCTCGATTCACACTGTCAAATCACCTTCCATAAAAACTCTGTGAATTTACAGTGCCAATGGCTGAGAGTGCTGGTCTCACTGCATCTTTACCAGCACCAAGGTTATTGGTTTCTTGCTTTGGTTTTAGGTCCTTGCTGATTTGATTAGTTTACGCACATATTGTTGAGGTGTTGATCTCTTTAAGGAAAGGTAAAATCAAGTATGCTTACAGGTCTTCATCAGTGTCCTTATTTCCGTGAATTTCCTGTTCAGGGCATAAGGATGGAGAGATGGGAGTATGAAGAGATTAGGAATTCTGTCTCACGGTCTCGTGTATCCAGTGTAGGAACTTGCAGACTTGAGTATAGACACCCGGTTGGTTGGGTTGGCCGCAAGGGTAAGTTCCCCAGGACACCAAGCCTTGCAAGGTATCTTTGCACATCAGTGGTCCCCCTGAGTCACCCTGGAAGGGATAAAGCAAATTAGCTTCAACTTCAGAGTGAAACCCCACCCCCACCTCAGTCTCATTAACTCCCGCAGTTGTTAATCTATGTCTTGCCAGACCTTGGACTTCCACCCTGGCCAGTGGGGAGAGACTCACTTTCTCTGAGGACCAATGGGAGAGCAGGGATTAAGGCCATCATGCAGAAGACAAACCACGTTCTCTGAAGACACCAGCTTGAACCCCAGCCAGAGACCCAACACAGAGAAGGGGCGGGGCTTCCAGGGGTCAGAGCCCCATTTACTTCCCATCCTTAAGAACTCAGCACCAAGCCTATGTGAGAAGGAGCATTATCTCCAGGGAGCGGA